GTAGCCAGTATACACTTCCTTAAAATAGTCTGAATCAATCTAAGATAACTCAAGAAATCTGTCATTAATTTTGACATTTTTGCAGAGGAGATCTAAAAATGTGCATGAAAACAAATCGTCTTTCGTTGAATGACAACAAATACTTTTTTGAAGAATCCCCACTGTTGACCAATCACAGACGAAGGGCCGTAGACTTCGGCTTGCCTAGAGAGAAGAAGAAAAATAAACGTCCCAAAATGTCGCCATAATATGGAGCTGTTTCGGCTGGGAAGCATGCGGACGCCTTAAGGAGTGTCTGTGTTGGAGTTTGAAACCAAGCTGCAGTAGAGGCAGGAGTAGGGAGTATTTTATCTCTCTCTCTCTCTCTCTCTCCCTCTCTCTCTCTCTCTCTCTCTATGTAGTGTGTGTAGTCGGGCACTAAGCCGTGTGATGAATACCTTGGTGGTTTCAGGCTGTGATGACAGGCTCAGACAAGCAGCCGTGTAATGACCTCCGACGCCAGCCAGCCAGGCCCCTCTCTTTCTGTCTCTCTCTCTGTCTCTCTCTCTCCTCTCTACCTTTATCCTCAAGAATAACAAACACACAGAGGAGAGAGGGGGAGTAGAGAGAGAGGGGGGGGTAGAGAGAGGGGGGGGGGGGGTAGAGAGAGAGAGGAGGGAGAGAGAGAGAGAGAGAGAGAGAGAGAGAGAGAGAGAGAGAGAGAGAGGCTGTGGGATGAGACAGAGATGCAGCTTGAGCCCCACCCTCTTCAGGGCACTAGAACAATCTGCAGCACCCGGCCTCACTCTACTGGACTCGGAAATCAAACGTCTGCTGTTTGCTGATGATCTGGTGCTTCTGTCACCAACCAAGGAGGGCCTACAGCAGCACCTAGATCTTCTGCACAGATTCTGTCAGACCTGGGCCCTGACAGTGAATCTCAGTAAAACAAAAATAATGGTGTTCCAAAAAAGGTCCAGTTGTATCTAGACACTGTTGCCCTAGAACACAAATAATTACACCTACCTCAGCTTTAACATCAGCACCACAGGTAACTTCCACAAAGCTGTGAATAATCTGAGAGACAAGGCAAGAAGGGTCTTCTATGCCATCAAAAGGAACAACATAACCATTTGACATACTGGAAAGAATCAACCAAAAAACAGAGCAAATTGGAATGCTATCTGGCCCTAAACAGAGAGTACACAGTGGCAGAATACCAGACCACTGTGACTGACCCAAAATTAAGAAAATCCTTGACTATGTACAGACTCAGTGAGCATAGCCTTGCTATTGAGAGAGGTCACCATAGGCAGACCTGGCTCTCAAGAGAAGACAGGATATGTGTCCACTGTCCACAAAATGAGGTGGAAACTGAGCTGCACTTCCTAACCTCCTGCCAAATGTATGACCACATTAGAGACACATATTTCCCATGGATCACACAGACCCACAAAGAATTAGAAAACAAATCCAACAGTGATAAATTCCCTTATCTATTGGGCGAAATACCACAATTTGCAATCACAGCAGCAAGATTTGTGACATGTTGCCACAAGAAAGTATGAAAAATGTATGCACTCACTAACTGTAAGTCGCTCTGGATAAGAGCGTCTGCTAAATGACTAAAATGTAAAATGTATATATACATAATATGACTTTTGAAATGCCTTTATTATTTTGGAACTTCTGAGTGTAATGTTTACTGTTAATATTTATTGTTTATTTCACTTTTGTTTACTATCTACTTCACTTGCTTTGGCAATGTTAACATACGGCCAATAAAGCCCTTAAATTGAAATTGAATTGAATTGAGAGGGGAGGGGGGGCTCTCCCTTTGTATCTCTAGAGAGAGAGAGGGGGGGGGGGGGGGGGGGGGGGGGGGGGGGGCTCTCCCTTTGTATCTCTAGAAGAGAGAGAGAGGGGGGGGGGGGGGGGCTCTCCCTTTGTATCTCTAAAGAGAGGTGGGGGGGCTCTCCCTTTGTATCTCTAGAGAGAGGGGGGGGGGTTCCCCTTTTTTTTTCCTAGAGGAGAGGGGGGGGGGGGGGGGGGCTCCCCCTTTTGTATTCAAAAGGGAGGTGGTGGGGGGGGGGGCTCCCTTTGTATCTTGAGAGAGGGGGGGGGGCTCCCCTTTTGATTTTAGAGGAGGGGGAGGGGTCCCCTTGTACCCCTAGGGGGGGGGGGGGGTGGGGGCCTCTCCCTTTGTATTTTGAGGAGGGGGGGGGGGCTCTCCTTTTGTATCTTAGAGGGGGGGGGGGGGGGCCCCTCCTTTGATCTTAGAAGAGGGGGGGGGGGGGCCTCCTTTGGATTTAGAGAGAGGGGGGGGCTTCCCTTTTGTATTCTAGAGAGAGGGGGGGGGGGCTTCCCTTGATTTAGAAAAGGAAAAGGGGGGGCGTCTCCCTTTTGTTCTTAGGAGAGGGGGGGGGCCTCCCTTTGTATTCCGAGAGGGGGGGGCTCCCCTTTATTCTAGAAGAGGGGGGGGCTCTCCCTTTGTATCTCTAGAGAGAGGGGTGGGGCTCTCCCTTTGTATCTCTTGAGAGAGGGGGAGTGGGGCTCTCCCTTTGTATCTCTAGAGAGAGGGGGAGGGGGGGGCTCTCCCTTTGTATCTCTAGAGAGAGGGGGGGGGCTCTCCCTTTGTATCTCTAGAGAGAGGGGGGGGTGGGGCTCTCCCTTTGTATCTCTAGAGAGAGGGGGGGGGCTCTCCCTTTGTATCTCTAGAGAGAGAGGGGGTGGGGGGGGGCTCTCCCTTTGTATCTCTAGAGAGAGGGGGGGCTCTCCCTTTGTATCTCTAGAGAGAGGGGGTGGGGGGGGGCTCTCCCTTTGTATCTCTAGAGAGAGGGGGTGGGGGGGCTCTCCCTTTGTATCTCTAGAGAGAGGGGGGGTAGGGGGGGCTCTCCCTTTGTACCTCTTTCCTCAATCTTTTCTCCTCAGTCAGTTTGAGGAATGTTTCCCCCCCCCCCCCCCCCCCCGGAAATACTAACTTTGTCCCCAATAGCCAGGGAGCTAGCTCTAGCTGGTTGGATTTAAGATCATTCCGACTTCAAATAAAATGGCTCACGAACAGCCTGTCATTTTGTGGAATAAATGTTTTCCCCTCCCTAGTGTTGTCTTTTTCCTTTTTTTCACCAGATCCTAATGAAGTCTGGGCCTGCGTCCAAAATAGCACCCTATTCCATTTACTGTGCACTACTTTTGACCAGACCCCTAATGGGCTACACTATATAGTGAATAGGGTGCCATTTGAGATGCAGACTGGATCCTGAGCTAATAACAGGCTCTGACGAGAGCAGAGCAGACTGAGATACTGCTCTATTAACATAACTCTGCCTTAGCTCTCATTCTTCTGCTGGCCAAATTACTGGCTACACTCAGCCGGCCCAGAAAGATGAAAGGACTGGAGAGAGGGGGGATGGATGGGGGAGAGAGGGAACCAAACTGACTGTAAGGGGGCTCTGCAAGTTGTAATTTTTAACCATCGAATGTCTAACCCTCTCAGAGAGGCTACAGCACGGGACTATGAGTGGCTGAACGTGTCTGTCTGTAAAGTTTTCACTATGTCCTCTGCAGTTTTTACTTTATAGTTGTATTTGTCATCAGGTCATGGTGGTATAAGGCTTAGTTAGTATTGGGAGGAAGTTGAGATGAAAAAGTAAAGTATCTCTATCTCTAGAGAGAGAGAGAGAGAGAGAGAGAGCAGAGAGAGAGAGAGAGAGAGAGAAGAGAGAGAGAGAGAGAGGGGGATAAAGAGGAGAGAAAAAAGAGAGAGAGAGAGAAAAAAAAAAGAGAAAGAGAGAGAGAGAGAGAGAGAAAGACAGAGAGAGAGCAGAGAGAGAGAGAGAGAGAGAGCGCGAGAGAGGAGAGAGAGATAGAGGAGAGAAAAAGAAAATAATAAGCTCTACCCAATATATATACCCCCCCCCCAATCTCTCTCTACTCTTCTCTCTCTGTCCTGTCTCGTCTTGTCTTCTCTATCTCTGTCTCTACTATCTGTCTCTCTCGCTCTCTCTGTCTCTGTCTCTCCCTGTCTCTCTCTGTCTCTCTCTCTCTCTCTGGCTGGCTCTCCCACCTCTGCCCAGCCTAGGATCCAGGTTTCTGTGGAATAGAGATATAGAGGGAGAAGGATGGGAGATGGGAGGCACGCTAAGGGGGTTGGAGGGAAACCAGAGCTGAATGCTACGCACTAACGCTAAACTCTTTACGCTTGGGGGAAACTCTAGACCTTGTGAGAGGCATAGCTAGGGTTGCAACATTTCAGTAACTTTCCCCGAAATTCCAGGTTTTCCAGAAATCCTGGTTGGAGGATTCTGGATTCCCTGTTTATTCCTTCCCGATCCAGTAATCTTCCAACTGGGAATTCTGGAACACCTGGTCATTTTGGGAAAGTTACCTGGATTTTTTGCAACACTAGGTGTAGATTTTGAACCAATCACATAGCTGCTGTTGTTGTCCATTTACAGCTTTCTCTCTGTTACTGCAGAAGACCGCTTAGTTTACTACTAAAGGAACTTGTTTACCTCAAGTGCTGTGCTGCTGTAACTGTACTTTGGAAAGAGGACTTTTCAGCCCTAGTTCTTTGTAGCTGTACTGTAACAGGGCTTAATGCTGCTTCTCCTTCCTTTGTGTTTTATTCCCCCCCTTCCTCTCCTTTAATCAAACCCATTCCTATGTGCAGAGTGGAGAGGAGAGCATCTCTTATATGCGCCTCCCAAATGGCCCCCTATTAGTAGTGTACTATAAAGGGAATAGGGTGTAATTTGGGACGCAGGCCTAGCTCTCCTAGTCCTAGCATGGTTTTATACTGTCTTTCAAAGAGAGGCCACATTTCCTTCTGGTTGCCCTCTATGAATATTAAACCTATTACTTCTAATTTCCTGTGGTAGAATGAGGTGAACGGCTATAAAACAATGATTAGGACAGATTTACCGTCTGCTTGACGTCAGAACATTGTTAGTCGGACTGGAAGGAAAATACAAGGCTCCAGACAGAAGATAACCATTAAGGCTTGTATAAAAAGGGTTTGGATGGCTGTGTGTGTGTGTGTGTGTGTGTGTGTGTGTGTGTGTGTGTGTGTGTGTGTGTGTGTGTGTGTGTGTGTGTGTGTGTGTGTGTGTGTGCGTGTGCGTGCGTGTGCATGTGCGTGTGTGTGTGTCATGGTGTCTTGGGCTGGTTGCTTTTCTTCTGCGAATTCCAGAAATGTCTGTTTTGGATGATGATTGTGAAATTAAGGATGCACTGTGATATTGATTATACTTTTGAGTCCTAGCGCTTTGTGGCTTTGTAGTTATAACATATTGTGAAATGTCTACATACAGTATTTAGTTAAGAGTTGGCAGTAGTAAAACTGTTTGTTTCTTTTATCTCCTTGTTTCGTGACTTTTGAAGACTTTAATTGAGTAGTTGTTGATAAGAATTCCTCTTAAATCTCTCAGCCACTGCATCACCAGGCTGTTCAAAAGACTTGTTTTCCTGTTGACTCATTAATGGACTCAATGTTGGGCCAGGATGCTTCCTCTAGAAAACAAAAAAAAACAGAGGAGAGAGAGAGTAGAGAGAGAGCAGAGAGAAGAGAAGAGAGTAGGTAGGCGGAGAGAGGAGAGGAGAGAGGAGGCGAAGAGGAGAGAAGAAGGAGAGAGCAAAGTGGAGAAGAGAAGCGGAGAAGGAGAGCGAGCGAGGGAAGGACTCGTAGAAAGCGCGAGCAGATCTCGCGCAGCGAGCGAGGACAAATGATCGAGGAGAGCGCGAAGCGATGAAGCAGCGGAGAGTATCACTCTCTCTCTCATCTCTCTCTCTCTCTCTCTCACTCTCTCTCTCACTCTCTCTCATCTCTCTCTCTCTCTTTCTCTCTCTCTCGCCCTCTCTCTTCTTTATACTCTAACCTCATCTGTCCTACCCTCTCTCCTAATTTCATCTTTCCTTCTGACTCACTCAGAAATTAGTCCAATAAATGTTATTTTTCATCTGTTGTATGTTCAGTCCAGTGTTGTAACCCTCCTCTTTCTCCCCCTATAGATTCCCAAGCTGTCCAGGAGTCGGGCGACAGATCCCACTGGTGCATGGTTGCGTACTGGGAAGAGAAGACCCGCGTGGGGCGCCTCTACTCGGTCCAGGAGCCTTCTCTGGACATCTTCTATGACCTACCTCAGGGGAACGGCTTCTGCCTGGGCCAGCTCAGCTCCGACAACAAGAGCCCGCTGGTTCAGATGGTGCGGACCAAGATCGGCTATGGCATCCAGCTGAGCCGCGAGCACGACGGGGTGTGGGTGTACAACCGCAGCTGCTACCCCATCTTTATCAAGTCGGCCACACTGGACAATCCCGACTCGCGGACTTTACTGGTGCATAAAGTGTTCCCCGGCTTCTCCATTAAGGCCTTTGACTTTGAGAAGGCAGACAGCCTGCAGAGGCCTAATGATCATGAGTTCACACAGCAGCCGAGGACTGGGTTTACTGTACAGATCAGCTTTGTGAAGGGCTGGGGCCAGTGCTACACAAGACAGTTTATTAGTAGCTGCCCATGTTGGCTGGAGGTCATATTCAACAACCAATAGCAGCAACGGATGACCTTTGGATGACCTTCCTTCCCCCTCTTCTTCCCCGTTCTCCTCATCCGAGGACTAGAAGAGAACGGAGGACACGGACTAGTCCTCACCTTTCCTTTTTTCAGAAGAAAGAAAGATGTTTCAAGAAGAGACAAATAAAACCCAATAAACTTGTTTAATATGACAAATGACTCAAAGATTTAATTAAAGGTGAAATGAAAAGCGAAAATGTATTTTATGTTATATATAAATATATTATTACTTGTAAATATGAAGACGTTTTATATGCATCATTATTTATGTATTGTGCAATGTGTTGATGAGAAAATAAAATAAGATGCACTTTGCTTAATATAAATACAAACAAAGAAATGCCAAAATAAATAAAAGACAAATGATATTTTTCTACTGGTGTTTTTTTCTGTGGGTGTGGTACTAAGGTGAATGCAAATGTTCTTGAATGATGATGTCTTCTGTAGGATCAAAATAGGCTGGAATGAGTAGCATACTAGAAACTAGACATTTGAGTTTCACGTTTAATTTAACAGGACATTGCAATCAGTTTAAATATTTTGAATTGCTCTTGAATTTGAATTTTTTAAAGGCAACTCAATATTGACCCACCGCTATTCAACATACACAATCCACACGCTAACCTTGGGCTTGATTCAATCCATATAGCGGAGGCTTAGGCCTATAGCGCATTTGAAATATAAAGGTAATTTCAGATTGAGTCGTCTTATGCAGCTTTTACTGTGAATGCAGTCTCCGTAAATTTCAATCACGTTACGACATTTGTAAACAATGTCAACAAATTGCATGAATTATATTTTGCATATTGTTTTACAGCCATTGTGTTAGCCAGGAGGATGAGATAGGATCGGATGTATTTGACGTCATCCTCTGCTGCTAACTCTAGCTCTGTAAATACTGCATATACGTCATTACTCCCTAAACAATGTCGTCTAACAGCCATAACTCAGGGCTCGTTGGGGCTTTCTGCTCCATTCTTCTTGTAGTTTGCAGTCGTCTAACAGCCATAACTCAGGGCTTGTTGGGGCTTTCTGCTCCATTCTTCTTGTAGTTTGCAGTCGTCTAACAGCCATAACTCAGGGCTCGTTGGGGCTTTCTGCTCCATTCTTCTTGTAGTTTGCAGTCGTCTAACAGCCATAACTCAGGGCTCGTTGGGGCTTTCTGCTCCATTCTTCTTGTAGTTTGCAGTCGTCTAACAGCCATAACTCAGGGCTTGTTGGGGCTTTCTGCTCCATTCTTCTTGTAGTTTGCTTGTGTGTCTTGTCGTTTTCTGTGCCTTATAACTATTTTGGGAAAATGAATGTTCTCCATTTCCAGCTCTGATGACATCACATAAAGGAAGCCATAATAATGGCATTCAGGAGCCTATAAAATGAATAGACACTTAACCACTGGCAGAGGCAGGCTGAAAACCAACATCACCTGGCAGAGGCAGGCTGAAAACCAACATCACCTGACAGAGGCAGGCTGAAAACCAACATCACCTGGCAGAGGCAGGCTGAAAACCAACATCACCTGGCAGAGGCAGGCTGAAAACCAACATCACCTGGCAGAGGCAGGCTGAAAACCAACATCACTTGGCAGAGGCAGGCTGAAAACCAACATCACCTGGCAGAGGCAGACTGAAAACTAACATCACCTGGCAGAGGCAGGCTGAAAACCAACATTACCTGGCAGAGGCAGGCTGAAAACCAACATCACCTGGCAGAGGCAGGCTGAAAACCAACATCACCTGGCAGAGGCAGGCTGAAAACCAACATCACCTGGCAGAGGCAGGCTGAAAACCAACATCACCATGCAGAGGCAGGCTGAAAACCAACATCACCAAGCAGAGGCAGGCTGAAAACCAACATCACCTGGCAGAGGCAGGCTGAAAACCAACATCACCAAGCAGAGGCAGGCTGAAAACCAACATCACCTGGCAGAGGCAGGCTGAAAACCAACATAACTTGGCAGAGGCAGGCTGAAAACCAACATCACCTGGCAGAGGCAGGCTGAAAACCAACATCACCAAACAGAGGCAGGCTGAAAACCAACATCACCTGGCAGAGGCAGGCTGAAAACCAACATCACCTGGCAGAGGCAGGCTGAAAACCGACATTACCTGGCAGAGGCAGGCTGAAAACCAACATCACCTGGCAGAGGCAGGCTGAAAACCGACATTACCTGGCAGAGGCAGGCTGAAAACCAACATCACCTGGCAGAGGCAGGCTGAAACCCAACATCACCTGGCAGAGGCAGGCTGAAAACCAACATCACCTGGCAGAGGCAGGCTGAAAACCAACATCACCATGCAGAGCTGGCAGAGGTAGGCTGAAAACCAACATCACCAAGCAGAGCTGGCAGAGGCAGGCTGAAAACCAACATCACCAAGCAGTGGCAAGCTGAAAACCAACATCACCATGCAGAGGCAGGCTGAAAACCAACATCACCATGCAGAGGCAGGCTGAAAACCAACATCACCATGCAGAGCTGGCAGAGGCAGGCAGAAAACCAACATCACCAAGCAGAGGCAGGCTGAAAACCAACATCACCTGGCAGAGGCAGGCTGAAAACCAACATCACCTGGCAGAGGCAGGCTGAAAACTAACATCACCTGGCAGAGGCAGGCTGAAAACCAACATCACCAAGCAGAGGCAGGCTGAAAACCAACATCATCTGGCAGAGGCAGGCTGAAAACCAACATCACCAAGCAGAGGCAGGCTGAAAACCAACATCACCTGGCAGAGGTAGGCTGAAAACCAACATCACCAAGCAGATGCAGGCTGAAAACCAACATCACCTGGCAGAGGCAGGCTGAAAACCAACATCACCAAGCAGAGGCAGGCTGAAAACCAACATCACCATGCAGAGCTGGCAGAGGCAGGCTGAAAACCAACATCACCAAGCAGAGGCAGGCTGAAAACCAACATCACCTGGCAGAGGCAGGCTGAAAACCAACATCACCTGGCAGAGACAGGCTGAAAACCAACATCACCTGGCAGAGGCAGGCTGAAAACCAACATCACCAAGCAGAGGCAGGCTGAAAACCAACATCACCTGACAGAGGCAGGCTGAAAACCAACATCACCTGGCAGAGGCAGGCTGAAAACCAACATCACCATGCAGAATTGGCAGAGGTAGGCTGAAAACCAACATCACCAAGCAGAGCTGGCAGAGGCAGGCTGAAAACCAACATCACCAAGCAGTGGCAAGCTGAAAACCAACATCACCTGACAGAGGCAGGCTGAAAACCAACATTACCATGCAGAGTCAGGCTGAAAACCAACATCACCATGCAGAGCTGGCAGAGGCAGGCTGAAAACCAACATCACCTGGCAGAGGCAGGCTGAAAACCAACATCACCAAGCAGAGGCAGGCTGAAAACCAACATCACCTGGCAGAGGCAGGCTGAAAACCAACATCACCAAGCAGAGGCAGGCTGAAAACCAACATCACCATGCAGAGGCAGGCTGAAAACCAACATCACCTGGCAGAGGCAGGCTGAAAACGAACATCACCTGGCAGAGGCAGGCTGAAAACCAAAATCACCAAGCAGAGGCAGGCTGAATACCAACATCACCAAGCAGAAGCAGGCAGAAAACCAACATCACCTGGCAGAGGCAAGCTGAAAACCAACATCACCTGGCAGAGGCAGGCTGAAAACCAACATCACCATGCAGAGCTGGCAGAGGCAGGCTGAAAACCAACATCACCAAGCAGAGCTGGCAGAGGCAGGCTGAAAACCAACATCACCAAGCAGAGGCAGGCTGAAAACCAACATCACCAAGCAGAGGCAGGCTGAAAACCAACATCACCAAGCAGAGGCAGGCTGAAAACCAACATCACCTGGCAGAGGCAGGCTGAAAACCAACATCACCATGCAGAGGCAGGCTGAAAACCAACATCACCATGCAGAGCTGGCAGAGGCAGGCTGAAAACCAACATCACCATGCAGAGCTGGCAGAGGCAGGCTGAAAACCAACATCACCATGCAGAGCTGGCAGAGGCAGGCTGAAAACCAACATCACCAAGCAGGGCTGGTCTCTGACACGGGTTTGTGTTCCTTCTCCAGCTAAGAGAGAACTGAATGACTCTACAAAGAGAGAAACATCGTAATGAATAGCTTTCTGAACTACAAGACAGTGTGAAACGTTACGGTGGAGTCAGAGGTTGGTAGAGCAACGCCAGGGTTGTGGGTTCGATTCCCATGGGGGGCCAGTATGAAAAATGTATGCACTCACTAACTGTAAGTCGCTCTGGATAAGAGCGTCTGCTAAATGACTAAAATGTAAGTGAAGAAATGTAATTCTAGTGTCAGAGAAAATACACATTTCTCCAAAACAAACCGTAGCCTACACTGCCTATAATGAAAAGCAACATGAAAATAAATGCTAATGTATTTGAGATTGACTGTTTGGGTAAATGATTTTTTTTTTTTATGGTTGATTTTCCAGAGTAGAAAAATGCAACACCATCTCTCCATTGAAGTCAACACAAAACATCCATCGCTCCATGGAAGTCAATACAAAATAAAACCCTTTTTTAAATCCCACCCTGGTGACTCTTTGTCATGAAGAGACTGTGTGTGTTCGGAACGTGCTCCACTCTGACCACAATATCTAGACTACTGCTGTCTCCTGCTGCCTGTCTGTCAGATGGACGTCTGGTCAGGGGATTACTACAGTAAGCCTGCTGCACCAAATGGCACCCTATTCCCTATATAGTGCACTACCTTTCACCAGAGCCCTATGGGATTCCCTATGGTCAAAAGTAGTGCACTATATAGGGAATAGGGTGCCATTTGAGACTCAGTCTAAGCCTGCTTTACCCACACTCAGTGTCTCAGATAGGGACCTTCATTCACCAAGACCCAGTTTCCACTAACCCCATCCCTTCCAACCAACACAGAATGCTTTTAGAACTTTATCAGGAAGTAGGAAAGAACAATGTAACCACGGCAACGTTTGTTAATCCCATCGTGAAAGGAATGGAGT